TTCTCAGCACTCTTAGAGGACAAGCCGAAACTTTTGCATACGGGTTGCCATTGGTATTTCAGCGAGATTATACGAGGTTGAGGCAAAAGATGGAGGAAAGGTTTGGCCATACAGCCATGAAGGAGAAGTATATAGCCGAAGCTAAGATGAGGAGAAGACGGGATAAAGAGTCCTTGCGAGATTTTGGACAGGCGCTTGAAGATCTATGCAGGAGAGCTTACCCGGGGAATCCTGATATAGTTGAAGAAAATGCTGTGAAAGCTTTTCTGGACAAGTGCGGTCAGTCTGAGGACTTTCGCCTGGCCGTTAAAAGGACAAGGCCTAAAAATTTGCAAGAAGCAGTTATAAATGCAATGCAAGAGGAATGTCTAAGAGTAGGAGAAAAGGATTTAGTTAAAGATAAGCCTGTTAATAGGCCTATATATGAAGTGAGACATAGAGATAATATGATGATAGATGCCAGTGAACCTCCAAGGGCGGGTTCTACTGAGCAAACAAATGATTATGAATATAATAGAGGGGTCAGCCGAGGAAGATATAATTGGAATAATACTGGTAGGGGGTCCCGCGGGAGACCCTTTAATCGAGGCTTTATGAGAGGTAGGGGAGGTGCCCACGGTTTGGTAGAAGCCAAACAGACCATGGAGGCGGACAAGAGCCGGCACCATTGTCCGTTGGAGCCGAGCCGAGTCCGTTAAACTAGATGTGACCGATACTGAGGGCCAAGTATCGGTTACCCAAAGGAGGCCTAATAAAGAAGTTAATGTAAAAGTAAAGAGAAGATGGAGGAAGAGGAGAAAGGTGAAGTTTAAAGAAGACTCGGATGTTATTGTAAAAGAAACGAGTAGCAGTGACGGTCATGCAGTTGAGACGTCGAGGGAAACTGGAACTCCTACTGATAGTCCTTCCCCAAAAGTTAAAGTAAGAGGAATTGCTAATATGGTTGTGAAAGGACAGATCGAGGGCACGACAGTCGAATGGAAAATAGATACTGGTGCCATGAGTACTTTCATTACCAATGAAACGTTTGACTTAATATTGGACAAACCCATGTTAAGCCCAGTTGATAGTCATTTTGTAGCTGCTAATGGACAACCACTGAGGTGTCTTGGTAAAGCAGAGATGATGATAACGTTTGGGGAGAATGTTTTCGAACATGAGGTTATTGTTGGAGGAGTTAGAAACAACTTAATAGGAGAGGATTTCATCTCAACTCATCGTTGTACCTGGGATCATGACGAGTCCAGTTTTGTTATTAAAGGTAAGAGAATACCTTTGGAAGGATCGAAAGAGGCCAAGTCTAGGAGAGTTATAGCATTGGAGACTGTTATGGTACCGCCGAGACATGAAGCTGTAATCAAGTCGGGATTAACGAACAAGGCTAAATATCGTAGTGCATCCAGTTCCTTGGGTATCTTGACGCCCGAGCGCCCTTTTCTGGAGCGGCTTGGGCTGGCGTTGGCAAAAACGTTAGTTGATTCAGCAGATGGAGTGGTGTATACCCGAGTGTATAACCCTGGTTCTTCAGATGTTATTGTATATAGGCATACACACCTGGCATTGTTTACGCCCGTGTGTCGAGTCGGGCCGGTTATAGATATGAATGAAATGTCGAACATTTGTGAGGTTGAAGTGGATGCTTCAAGGAGCACGGGCAATATACCTGAGCACCTGCGTCCAATGTTTGAGATTGGTTGTAGGAATTTAGATGAAAAACAAGTGGAATTGTTTAAGAATTTTCTAGGTGCCAATCAGGAATGTTTTGCCCAACCAGGTGAGGTTGGTCGGACCAATATGGGCACCCACAAAATAAAACTTAGAGACGATAAGCCCATTAGAGAACCACCTAGGAGGATCCCCATGTACAAGAGGCAGGCATTGGAGGATGAAGTAAAGACGTTAGAACAGAAAGGTCTTATTGAAAAATCCGAAAGCCCGTGGTCATCACAAGTTGTGATGGTACAGAAGAAAGATGGGTGTTGGCGGATGTGCGTAGATTACCGAAAACTGAATGAAAAGACCATAAAGGACGCCTATCCCCTAACAAGGATAGACGAAAATTTAGATACTCTCGGAGGGGCTGAGTGGTTTTCCTCGCTGGATCTAGACATGGCCTACCATCAAGTGCCAATGGTAGAGGAAGATAAACAGAAGACTGCCTTTGCTACCCCTAGAGGGGGGCTGTACCAGTTTACGACTATGCCGTTTGGTCTCTGTAATGCGGCTAGTACTTTTGAAAGAATTATAGAAAAGACCTTGTTTGGGTTACAATGGCGAGTTGCCGTACTATATCTCGATGATATAGCAGTATTTGGCCAATCGTTCCAAGAACACCTTTCGAATCTTCAGAAAGTTTTTGGTCGACTAACAGAAGCAGGTCTGAAGTTAAAGCCGAAGAAGTGTCATATGTTGCAAAAAGAAATATCCTTTTTGGGGCATATTGTATCCACTGAAGGGGTTAAGACAGACCCAGCTAAAGTAGTTGCAGTTAAGAATATGAAACGACCTGCGACAGTGACACAAGTTCGTAGTTTCCTTGGTTTAGCTTCCTACTATAGGAAATATGTGAAGGACTTTTCGAAAATTGCGAAGCCTCTGCCCCAGCAAACAATTCAACATTTTAAAAACGTTTTAAAAATGTTTTGTTTTGGTTTCTAAAATGTTTTATTAAAACGTTTTAAAAACCAAAATTTGTAGACTCTTATAAATGTTTCAAAAACATTTTGAAGAAACGTTATTTTGGAACATTCAGAAAACGTTGAAATAAAGTTTTATGAAAAACGTTTCTGTCAACCTCCAACAAACGTTTTCAATACATTTGTGTAACAATGATGCATTAGTGCGACCACCATTACTTTGGTTTAAAAATATATATTTGATTGTGCACGTGTTTAGTTGAAGAAAAAGCAACATCTCCATAAGCTTGGATGGATGGTTGGTTGTTTAACGACCAGTGGCAAGTCAGATGCATATTCTGGATGAGAACATGATTATTAAAAATTAATACCCTGTCTTGTAATACACCAACATGTTGTGCCAGATTTTTTGGTTCTAGCCCACAAGGCAAGTTTGCAGGATGACATGTCACATTATTCTGACTACGGGCCAAGAAGTCTTTGCTCTAACTCATTTTGGGGAGAAGCAACAAATAATAATTTTATTGTCATTGGTTTGGCCCGGCCGAAGTTCCAACCCACAACCTCCGCACTTGAGGCGACGACACTGACCATTACACCAAAGCTCTAAAGGAAGATATTCTTTATAAAAAAAACTATGCCAAAGCAAAGCTTGTCAACCTCTGTTTAAACTTGGTCCTGTGACCTTGAAAGTCAATTCAATAAGGTTCTTGCATTGACAAGGAGATAACATATCTCTTAAACCGAGAATTTGACATATTATCATAATAACTTCAATCAATGATCTAGTTTATAACCAAAGCTTCAAATGTTGCAGAAATTGGAATATAAATCAAATATTTTATTGTCTTATAAACTTTACAGTTTGTGACCAACATGTATTAACACAATAAACATATATACATACATATCAAACAAACACAATAAAAACAGCATCAAAATTTATAAAAACAAACAAGTTGTTAAGAGTCCCTTGCCCTCAGTTCTAATGACTTTTTCAAGAAGGATCCTAACTTATTTGTTTGTAAAGGCGTTGCTGGATTTAGTAAATAATGAATTTTTTCTTCTTCATTTAAATTATTAAAGTTATTATTTTCAGTACATATGTGTTCAAAAAAGGCATTTCTTAGTGTTTTATTATAATCACAATAGAGTAAAAAATGTTTCTCATCCTCTAGTATTTTACATTTATGACAAAGTCGTTCCTCTCTTGGGATTTTAAAATATCTCCCCTTTTCAATTAAGAGGGAGTGATCACTTAGTCTAAATTTAGTGATCAATCTCCTTATCTGAAAATTAGATATATTTAGATAAGATTCTAGTTTGCAATCCTTTTTAAGTTTTTTATATAGATAAAATTTACTTTTATCATCAATGTTTTCAAATTTAGTTTCAATTAAATCTTCATATCTATTTTTCATTTTTAACTTTATATCGTTTTTTATTTTATTTACATCTTTTATGTCCTTACAATTAGAAAAAATATTAAGGTCAATATTAGTCTCTTCAACAATATTCTTTGCATATGTATACCATGAATAAGTTCCAGTTAAATCTAGAGACTGTGCTAGAGAAAAAGCTTCCTTTATCAATGGATTAATATTATTATTATATAGTCTAGCTAAATATAAAAGGGTTTGTGTTTTAATAAAACATTCTATAGGCAATCTTCCTAATTCAACTCTTGCCCCTAAATTGGATGCATTTTTTCTTATTCCTAGAGTAGATTTACAAAATTTAAGATGCATATTTTCAATAGGGGTTTTGTCTGTAAAATCAAGTTGATTAATTTGTTTTCCTGAAGATAAGGCTCTGTTTTTGGCTCTATGAAAAGAAATATATGTATCTAAATATGTTACTTCTGAATTATAGGTCATAATTGGTTTTACTAAAGAATCAAAAAGGTTATTTGCTACTTTTATAGGTAGATTATTCAATGATTTAGTATAGGATTTTATTGCAAAAAATACTTTTTTTGCCTTTTTTGTCAGCCCTAAGGTACTTTGTGATAAATTTCCATTACATTTTATCAACATTCCCAAAAATGAATATTCTGATACGCTCTCTATGGCTTCATTCTCATAGTAAATATGTGATGTTTCACCATTTTGTTTGGACTGACTGAAAATCATGGATTTTGTTTTGTTTGTATTTAAAGAGAGTTGCCATTTGTTGCAATATAATTTAACATTATTTAAACTGTTTTGAAGACCCTCTTTCGATTCTGACAGGATCAAAAGATCATCTGCAAAAAGGAGGCATCCCACCTTACTATTTATAAGCTTAAGGGGACTTGAATCATTTCCCTCAAAATTTTTTACAATATCATTTATGAAGACATTAAATAAAGTTGGGCTGAGGGTATATAGTTTTATAAACATCTTTAATCACTTTGCAACAAAAAAAAAACAGTATTGACAGGACTAAAATCAGTAGAATCAATGTACTTTTAAACAGATTTATTTGTTCAGACTCCAATTCTTCTTGCGCAATCGTCTGTCCTTTTCTTACAGGTTTCTGAAATGATCAAAAGCAATTTGTTAACGATATCAGTACGCCCAAGTACACTGTTTAGCATATAACTCTTAACCCCAGTTAGTTGTTGTACTCCCTTTTAATCAAGCTATTTCATTAAATCTATAAAGAGGAAATTATGCTATTTTTTGCAATCCAAGTAATTATTAAGATAGGCAAAAAACATAAATAATATTTAACATGTCAAAAGCAATTGCTACAAATGTAAATCTCAATGTTTTACTTGCAGGATAAAGACAATAATTCCATCGTCAAGAACATAACAATGTATTATTCTAATGTCTCTAAATAAACAGAAGTTCTGCATGGTTGGCAAATGTTATATTGCTATAAGTGGCTCATAAATTTGTGTATAGATATTCAAATTGCAAAAGTAAACTTTTAAATAAATAAAACCTTCCACTTAAACGTATATTAAGATATTTTATTCAATTGAAAAATACCTTATATTTTGGTCCTCCTGGTTTGTGTGGGGCCTATTTTAGGATTTCAATTAAGACTCCCTCCATATCGGAAACCTTGGATTTTGGGAACACTCTTGTACAACTTTCTGAAAAAGTATTACAGAATTAAAAAGATATATTTCATTATTATTTTTAACTTCTTTAAACTTTTATATATATATATATATATATATAAAAACTTTATGTAACTTTACACTCTGTTTCTACCTAAAATAATAAGTGAGAAACATTATATTCATATTCATCATATGAATTCTTTTTGAGATTAAAGTCAGATAAAAAATCCAATCTATATTAATGGCACTTGCTTTTAAATGTTCCGACATATTTTCTTAATCAACTTACTCATGATTATCCTGCACAAAGGGTGACCTGTGAATGCCTCTTTTCCCTTTTGCCCCTTCAGACTGTATTTGGTCCATAACTGATTAGTGCCACACTTCTTCATCATCCTTCCTATACAGTTTGAAGGGCTGTGACCACCCTGTGACACCAAATACTGGACCTACAAAATTACAATTTAGTCCCGTTGTTATTTATTTTTCGTGAAATCAAATATTTGTTTTATAAATAATCGTGTCCATGAACCAATCTTAGCAAAACCTACTAATATTATTATTTTATTTCTTGTCCGTATCGAGTTTCTATAATGATTTTCCATGTATCGCTGTGTATACGTTATATGCAATTTTATATGCATTTGAATGTTTGTCTTCAATTACAGGTTTATTCTATTAATGCATGATTTTTTTATTCATATATATAGCATGTTTCGCTTATATATATTTACTTTAAATTAATATATATTATCTTTAACTGTTAAAATCTGATTTGACCTTTTCTCGGTAGATTGTTCTGGTGTTACATTATAAACTTTTACACATCTATTTATTTGAAAGGATTTTCCCAACGTAAATGATCTGTGGTAATCAACACTGGTCGTATATGAATTTCTTTAATTGATGATATTACACCTGGTGTTTCGGATATCATTCAGTTCAAGTTCGACCAAGGTCGTTCATCCTCGTCAGGTGCCCTTGCGTAATATTTTTATTTACTATAAAATTTGATTATGATTACTTTTTAACTATAATCAATATGTTTCTATCGTGTAACATATCAAATGCAGTTACATTTTGTGGTAATACTGAATTGTTCATGACTGGCAAGTTACAATTAATTTTAGTCAGACATAATCACAAGATATTTTGTAAAATGAGGCCCAGCACTGGCAGCACGGCTATGGGTAGTCCAAAAACAAATATGACGTCTTGAAAGGATATTTTTGATTTTTGCTGTTGCTACGAAGTTGGAGGAGGGCGTCCACATTTTTTTTGTCAAATAAGAAAGCCTTACAAAACGTCATTATTATTTGACTACGCTCTGGGTAGTTTAAATGATTAATTATGCTGTCTTCGGAGGCTTGTTTTTATTTAACTCGTGTAAAAGTCAGACCAGTAGCCCACGAGGCATGACAAATTGACACGTGATGGCATCATGCAGTGGTAAATGTGAATTTATGCCTGTACTGTAGTAGTTAAATCTGTTAATCATGTAAATAGACCATGCAAATCATACGAATGTCATGGAGAAAATAATGCAGTAATTTGTCTCAATTTCTTCAAAATACATCGAATGTTTATTGTTCATAGACTGAACGCTATTCTGTAGAACTGCTCTTCTAGCATGTCTAGTGTCGTTGTTTTCCCAATTTAAAAAAGGCGGCGAGAGTATCCGGAAGTTTCGAACAAATTTTATCTAATGAAGAATTCTGCTTTAATACAAATTATTGTCGTAAATAATACATGTTCTCAATTAAAATGTCTATCTACGAATATGATAATACTTTAGAGATGCGATAAATGGAAATATAGAAATAAAATACGAAACTAACTAATAAGTTACAACTGGTTCCCGGTTCTACAGAAAAGAAACCAGTTATTAGAATTCAAGAATAATTTTTTTGACATAACATATCATCATATCGACAGATCGCAGATGACTTTTTGTAAATTAAAAATTAAAAGTAATTATTAAAAACTAAAATATTGCGGTGATATGGGAAACATGATTTATAAAGTTTTTCTATACTTATTAAAAAACATTTTTGAAACATTATTAAAAAACAAAATTAAAAACGTTGTTTTAAAATGTATTATTTATGTTCATCAAAAACATTTTTGAAAAAATGTTTTTTTTACGTTTAAAAAATGTTTGCAGAAACATTTCTACTATAGTTACAGAAAACGTTTCAATTTAACCTTTTAAAAACATTTCTTAAACGTTCTTTCGACACTAACTTATTTGAAACCTTTAAAAAACGTTTCTAAAATGTTCTGTGTTTGGTGGGCATGTTTGACCTTACAAAGAAAAACCAGAAATTTGCTTGGAACAAAGATGCAGAAGCTGCTTTCCTAGGACTGAAAAGTAGGTTAATTTCGGCACCTATATTGGGATTTCCGCAGGCTGATGGGTCCGAGTTTATACTGGATACTGACGCCAGCGCCTATGCCATTGGAGCCGTTTTATCCCAAATTCAGGACGGGAAAGAGAGAGTAATTGCGTACGGTAGTAGGTGCTTGGATAAGCCGGAACGCAACTATTGCGTGACAAGGAGGGAAATGCTCGCTGTTGTTTATTTTACCAAGTATTTTAAACATTATCTTTTAGGACGTCCGTTCCGTATAAGAACCGATCATGGGTCCCTGACGTGGCTTCAGAATTTTCGGGAGCCCGATGGGCAGATACATCGATGGATTCAGCAACTGAGCCAGTTTCACATGAAAATTGAGCACAGGCCAGGAGTACGCCATGGGAACGCAGATGCGATGTCGCGGCTAGTAACTGATAATGGAGAATTTTGTAAACAATGTGAGATGCCTTGGGGTTATGGCTACGAGGGTCCGATTGAAACAGAAATTAAATATATGAAAGAGGGCGATAAGAAAAGCATAGACGTAGTTTCTGAAAACTCAGATAGTCATGACGACCACACGAGACCAAGCTTTGACCGTGTAGGAAATAACAATACAGATGTAGTAGTCGATCCTGATTCAGGAGAATCTCCTTTAGTTAGGAGGGGACGAAAGAGCAACAGACCAAAAATCGCCGAGCAAAAGCCGATGCCAAATATAGATCTGAGTTTAGAGGCAGTAATTAAGAGCCCGACAAGAAGCTGATGTTATTTTAGGGAAAATTTTGAACTTTAAAAATAAAATCGAGAAGCCCGCCTGGGAAGAAATTTGCGGTTATGGTTTGAATTTAAAATTTTGGTTAGCCAAATGGGAGCTTTTGGAAATTAGAAATAATGTATTGTGTTTGAAATGGGTTGAAATGGCCCAACAGGCCCGATGGAAGATTTGTGTGCCCGAGTCGTTAGTAGATCCTATTCTCTGGTATTTACACGATGCTCGAACGGGTGCACATTTAGGAATAAAGAAAACTTACGAAAAGGCGAAGCTATCTCCCTTCTACTGGCGAGATATGCAGGGATCTATTAAGTTATATATACAACAGTGCGAAATATGCGGGGAACGCAAAAGCCCGATGGCCAAGAAACGTCATCAGATGAAGTCGTACGTAGTTGGTGCCCCATTCGAACGGATAGCGAGCGACATTGCTGGCCCTTTTCCTACATCGATTAATAAGAATAAGTACATTTTGGTAATAGGGGATTATTTTTCGAAATTAACAGAAATTTATGCCATGCCTGATATGCGAGCAGAAACCGTTGCGGATATTTTATTTAGGGCATGGGTAAAGAGATACGGTTGCCCGGTGGAAATTCACTCCGACCAAGGTCGACAATATGAGAGTGCTGTTTTCAGAGAGTTATGTCAGTTATTAGAAATAAATAAAACTAGAACGACACCCCTTCACCCAAGATCCGATGACATGATTGAAAGAATGAATAGGACCGTCAATGATATACTTTCGAAGTATATTAAGAAACACCAAAAAGATTGGGATGAACATTTAGACTATATTGTTATGGCTTATAACGCAACACCCCACGAAAGCACTGGTATTACACCTCACCGCATGATCTACGGTCGGGAGATGTCGTTTCCATTAAATTTAATGACTGAGACTGTCTCGGATGACAATGAAGAAGAAAACTTTATTTCTGAGTATGTTAATAAACTTGAACATAAATTAAGGGAAGCACATGAGTTAGCCCGTAATAATTTAAAGTCTGCTGCTGAGAGGCAGAAAAATATTTGTGATGCTAAGGTTCGACCAGTCGTCTATAACGTCGGAGACTACGTGTGGAGAAACCAAAAGAAAAATGTTCCAGGAATTAAGCTCAAAATTGCTCGTCATTGGACTGGACCTTGGGTAATAACTGAAAAGCTTAGTGACATTACGTTTAAAGTGAAGTGTGCTAAGAATTCTCCAGAAGTAACTGTTCATGGTGATATTTTAAAACCGTATTTGGGATCTAAAAAAATGGTTTGGTTTAATCAACAAAACGCCTGTCCTGATATGCCCGATGTGCCCGAGCAACCTTACCTTACCTTACCTCTGTATCTTTACCCCCTTCAAAGGAGAACCACACAGGTTCTGTGTGTTGAACAGGTGCTTTGGGTGGCGGTGCTCATTATTTACAATGGTGCTGTGAATGTGGATCCCATCACCACAATTTATCCATGAATTTTTGGATCATCCTTCCACCATTATGTACATTATTTACATATATGAGTATCGTTAAAGATAGTATTTGCAATCCGCAACGACACCTCCCGACATTTTAAAAAGTTATTTATGTTATAATTAAAAGTTCATGGCGATTTTTTCAAAGTTAAAACAAGTCTTTCCACACGGGATTTTGCGGTAATATATAAAAGCGACGCCTTATTAATCGTTTAAAATCTAAAATCCCCTCACTATCACATACAGAATATATATAGAGCGGCTTTGCCTAGTTAAAACGTATCATAGTTAAAGTTCAATGTTCTAAAAATATTTGCTTTTTAAAATCTAAAAGTTCAGTGTTCACACGGGATTACCATATCGTGATAAAAGTATATGTACGGTAAAGTCTAAAAGTATGTTCACTAGGAATCTGTAGGCAAGCCGGTGGTTTATGACCCAGAGTCAATGGTCTCCCTACCCCTCCCCTCTCCATGCTAGTTTATCTTCTACGCTGTGCCTCTAATTCCTTTCGTCCAACAGTACGTTTCTCTTTATATGCAGCTTGAAGAAAAGGTTTCTGGAATGGTTTTCCAAACGGGCTGCGCTGGCTGAGTTATATTTATTTAGGTTGATGAGATTTGCACTGTCAAGGAGCAATTGCATTTGTGTTGTGATGTTCAAGTCATGGAATCTTGTGGTGTTATTCATTTCATTTTGCCATATGTCATTCACCTCTTTAAGTATCACTATTCTAACGGACTGCAGCTTCTCGCATTGCATTACAAAATGTTCTAGCGTTTCCTCTTGCATTCCACAAAGCAGGCAGGTCGGGTCTGTTTCTTGTCTGTAGAATTGAATCCGTTTTGTTTGGAGTACATAAGTTCCAGTAATAAGGCGTAATCTGGTAGGGATTCTGCTGTTGTCTAGCGCGGAGTGACTCTTGTGTTTGAGGATTGGGTGAAGTTTTCCCTTGATTAGGTTTTGATTGCTCAGGTACTTGAGCCCTAAGTATAGTTCAGACATTTGTACAATTTTGGTGCTCCAGTATTTCATCACAGCGTTCTTTATCAATGTGATCCACTGAGTTTTCTTTATTGGATTGGCCAAGTAGGTATTCGCTTCGTTGAGATCGTATAGACGTAGCAACTTGTTGATGTTTATGAACCAGCTATTACTAGCCTCACTGCAGACTGTCAGTTGTCTCCTGGCAAGCTTTTTCTCGGTGCTCTCTTCTGATTGGTGGCAGACATTGTTGAAGAAAGTTAGTGTCTTGATGTGGATTTGGGCTTCAATCGGGAGAATTCCTGTGAGTATGTAGACGGCTGGATCAGGGCATCTTGTTGGCAGCG